CCCCCTTTCTGCGGTGGCTCTTCCGCCCGGATCTGCCCCGTGCCCCCTTCTGCAGCCGGCTTTTGTCCGCGGGTCCGAGTGCGGGTGCCCTGAGCATCACTAGGGTGTTGCCCTGTTGCATCTACGAGGCTCGGGACCGCTCTACCTCCTCGGCGGTGCGGAGCGGACACTGCGGCAGGCGGGATGCCCGGGTTGTGATCTGGAGATGGGGAAAGCAGAGAGAGGAAAGGAGCTTGTTGAAATCAGCCGCTTAAACACCGTTAGTCTCCCTTTCAGTTTAACCTGGTTTTGAGTTCGCATCTTGGTGAGGGAATGTGCATATGTATGTATGTGTGTGTGTATATATACACACCTATAACATTTATGCTATGGAACATATTTTCGCAGGACTTTAATGAAAACTGTGTTTTGCCTTTTTAAAAGTAGCAAATCTTTAATTGCTGGTTTGTCTTTTTTCTTGTACTGGGTATGTATTGCTTATTACATCAAAGAGTGTGACCTTAATGTGCACAGGCAGTATTTTAGTGCCAGATTAAGAAACTCCATTAACTTTAGCAAATTGTTTAATTCCTGACATAATTCAGCAGGTCCAACTCGTTTATTTCATATGTTTTTCATATGTTTATTTCATATGACTCTTTTACAGTCAGTGTCCATAAACATAAATATGTGACAAACCACTCAGTATCTGTGTGCTGTGTTTTATCAGCCTGTCATGTAAATTCTCGTTTCATCTTGGTCCTTCTAGATGATATTTATATACTGAATTCTCTAACAGTATGTATGTTTAGGATGGTAATAAATAACAAGGCAGGGTAACCAGAACAGATGAGAGAGCAAAATCAGGCAAACCCACCACTTCTGATGCTGTCATCCTTATGTGCTTTGTTAGGGTATTACCATGAAGAGGTTCTCCTTTTGGTTACAGCTAGAAGAAAATAATCTCTACGTAGTAGGAAAGTATGGTAGGAAAGCTTGTTGGGAATTTTGTTAGTAGAAGTGTTGAGCTGATGTTACATGCTACATGTCTGTAAAGTTTCCCTAATGTTACTCTTGTTTTCCTTCTGTGACTTTCAGATTCAGGAAGAGACAGAAATGTGGAAAATCAGGGAGTGGGAGAAGCAGACAGAAGAGACTTACTGGAAAAGGCAGAGCAGAATGCTGTCAGACACCTCCAGGTGCGTTTTAGTTATTTAGAGGAGTTAGTTGTCTTGACTTAATTGCTAAGCTGCTGAACTCTTTTTTGTTACAACACTTTAGGAGCATTCTATGATGAACGTGTGTTTACATGAAGTCAGACTACAGATATATTTGTTTTCTCCTTAATGAGTAAGTGTCCTGGATTCAGCTGTAACAGTTACTTTTCTCCTTCTTTGTAGCTGGTGCAGTGCTGTGTTTTCAGCTTCAGTCTAAGAACAGTGTTGATAACACACCGATGTTTTTAGTTGTTGCTAAGTAATGCTTAATCCAATCAAGGACTTTCTCAGTCTCATGCTCCGCCAGTGAGGAGGGGCACAAGAAGCCGGGAGGAAGCAGAGCCAGGACGCCTGACCCAAACTGGCCAAAGGGCTATTCCATCCCACAGCACGTCATGCCCAGTACAGAAACTGGGGGGAGTTACCAGAAGGCCCAGATCGCTGCTCGGGTCGGGCTGGGTATCGGTCAGCGGGTGCCGAGCAATTGCATTGTGCATCACTTGGATTTATTGTTTTCTTTTCCTTTCCCCTTTTAGTTTTTTATTCTCTTCCCTTGTTATTTCCCTTATCATCATGATTATTGGTAGTAGTAGCAGTGGTTTTGTATTATGCCTTAGTTACTGGACTGTTCTTATCTCAACCCCTGGGACTTACATTCTTTCAATTCTCTTCTGGGAGCAGGGTGGGGGGAAGAAGATGGGAAGTGAGTGAGCAGCTTCCTGGTTCTGAGTTACCAGCTGGGCTTAAACCACGACAGTAAGGTTTTGTGAGAGCTGTTGGTGGTGGCTCTATTAAAATGATAGCTGGTCTTCTCACATAGATGGCCATTTAAGGCTTGCTGGATTTTTGTTCCTCTCACTGGTCTAACCTGTTGTTCAGAAAGTTTCTGCATCAGAGCTGACAGCTGAAGAACAACTGTTCTCTTTCCATAGCAGCCGGATGCGCAGTGATGGCTTTGATGAGGAGGGCCACAGGGCTGACTGGAAAACAAAGAACTCACAATTTCTTGACCTAGTTGAAGATGATCTCCTCAGGGCCCGATCCTGGAATAAAAAGCTGTATGAATGTGAAGCCAACATGCCAGACAGGTCTGTGGGGGAATTAACGTTCTGTGATTATAACTAATTAAAACACCTATTGGGAGTCATGTACCGATAAGTTAGTACATTTGTCTTTCCAGTACGTATTCCTATAATATAATGCTTGATTTCATTTTAAGAGTAAGTAACGTGCACAAGCTTACGCAGTGTCACAGAATACCTAATTCAATTTCAGCTATAGAGTTCTTAAGTCACAGTTAGCAGCAAAAGCTCAGCCCTAAGCTTAGCAGCTAAGCCCAAAGAACTTTGCCCAAGGAACTTAAAAAAATTTGAGAAATGCAAGTTAGTACTCTCCAGGGTTATTAAAGAAATTTGAGTTCAAGTTACCCCTGATTAGAAATGGAAAAGAGGATAGAACATAGAAATGGAAAAGAGGTAGAACATAGGGTATATTTAAATAGTATAAAACAAATCAGTCATATTTCCTTCCTTTTTTTTTTTTTTTTTGTTGGAAAGGTTCTGATAGCCCTTGTTTGCTATTTAAACTCATGTTCATTCTCTGGCTCTGTCTTTTCAGAGTTACATTTTTTCCTTAAACACCTTGTCAGTTTCTAATAGCTGGTTCTGCTTTCTTACAGATGGGGTCACAGTGGCTATAAAGAGTTGTATCCTGAAGAATTCGATACGGATAGGTAAGGCAACTAGGCATGCTAACATGTCTGAAATCTTACTCTGTCAGGTTATGCAGGGAGTTTGTCAAACTGATTTTTAAGTTCTGAATATAGATCAGCCTTGATTGTAAAGCAGCATTGTTTAGTTACAGATACCCACTGAAGAAAATCTAGTCCATTAATCTGGTTCCCCCTTGTCTGAGTCTTAGGAGGGGATTGCATCTTTTATAGTAATTAGCCATTTAGCTTTAGCTCGAGTTACTAAAATGCTATGAACCTGGAAGGTCTGTCTGGGCCAACAGGGAGCCAGAGTAGTAGGCCGAATCCAAATCAGCTCAGTATATGCCCTCTCAAAATGCTCCAGGTTCCTTTTCCATTGTAATATACCTTTATTTTCTGTGTTTCTCCTTACTTGAAAAATATAAAATTTAGCAGTACCCTGAGGAGTGGAGACTTAACTATAAAATAAGATCTTAGAGAGAATTAATTATTTTTAAACTATACCTAAAAGAATCATCACATACAATATTTGTCAGGCTTACAGATTTGAAGTAACCTGCTATAAACAAGCTTTCATCACTCAGTGGCTTTCACTACATATTCTCCTTGGTTCTGGCTCAAATACCTTAAACAGAGGTATGAATAAGGTGTGAACCCAAGCTGTTAATATGTATTCGAAACAAAAATGCAGCTACCACGTCTGTCAAAGCATCTGCTTCCCTGCTCTAGCCAAATGGTGGGCTTGTTTAAAGCTTTGAGACAGAAGAGGCTCCACTGCTATGTGGCTGCCTGTCTGCTTCCTTTTAGTCATCCTTTGGTCTTTCTACAGTGACCAGCAAGAAGGAGATGAACAAAGTGCTATCAATGGGAAGAAAAAATCTCATCTAGGAAAGCAAAGTGCCCGTGAATCGCACAAACGGAAAAAAACAAAGAAATCGCACAAGAAGAAGCAAAAAAAGCGCTCACACAAAAAGCGAAAGAAAAAGAAAAAGGAGCAGGGGAGAACATCATCTGATTCTTCCCAGGAGAGTGAGTGCTCAGAAGAGGAGACTTCAAGCACCCGAAAAGGGAAACACAAGCGCAAGAAAAAGACCAGGAAAGTGCCTGCCAGGGAACCTACCTCCTCGTCTGGGCAGGAAAGTGACTTTTCTCATGCAAGCAGCTCAACCACCAGCAGCTCTGAGGACAGTGAATCTGAGGAGAAAAAAGAGAAACGGCCCCAGAAAAAGAGAAAGAAACGTCACAATTCTGTGTCAGAGAGGCACAGTGAAGTACCAGAGAAGAGGAGCAAGAGGAAGAACTGGAAAGTGGCTGCTGATGAGAAATCGGAGGATAGCTCGGATGAGGACTGATGAGTCTAGGCTGCGGATCAAACAATAAGGTAGAGGACAGAGGCAGGTATTTATCTTTCAGCACTGCCCCATGGTACAATTTGTTTCAACACTGTGGTTTATATACATCCTGCCAGCCCACAGAGGAGAAATTGAGCCTTGGCAGCCTGCAGTTGGTGCCCCCTGCTTTCCATTGACTTGACATTCAGAAAACCAGGGGAGCAGTTGCATGCCTCACAGGCTGGCTAGTCCTGACAACTTTGGATTCTTTTTCTGTGACCTCTGATGCAAGAAAATGTTATGGGCTATCTGCAGGGGGAAAACAGACATGTTTGCACCGGGGTTTTTTGGTTTTGTTTTGGGTTTTTTTTGTTTTGCTTTGGTTTTTTTTATTAACAGATTGCTTTTTTGGGTCACCAAATCTATGACCAAGACTTGCGGTAAGAGAAGGGGAGAGACAAAAGGTCTGATAACAGAGGAAATGTCACTGGATTTAACCCTACAGTAGCTTTGCCTTCCCATCTTCCAGCAAAAGCAGACCTGTGTGGTGGCATGCACACGGTCAGCTGGACACAGAAGGGAGCATGAGGGAATACTCTTACTCCAGCTGAAGGCGCAGTGACTCTTTCCATAATGGTGAAGAACAGATACCAGTGCATTTACGTGTTTTAGACTACTCTCCAAATCCTGGCATGGGCTGGCCGTTGTGTCTACTCTCCCTTCATTCTCTCTGCAGGGGGGGGGGATGCTGAAACCATTTGTGCTGACAGAGGAGCCTTGGTGGGTGTTGTGTTCTGTCTCTGGTCTGGTCTGCCCAGTGTATTACTGGAGAAATTGGTACTGGGCCGTTGTCCCTGCAGTTGAACAGCCAAGCCTTTTAACAAAATAAATAAATGCAGACACATTTGATGCTTTTGTCATTGTTATGGAGTAAAGCCTGGGGAGAGAGCCCAGGCCTGAGAAGTGTGTGCGATGTGTTTCTGCCTCATCAGATCAGGTGGCTGTGGAGGACTTAGAGGAGGTGAAGTAAGGGAGGCTGGAATGGGAAATTTACCGTGCTGATGTGATTGTCCTGTGTCAGTGACCAAGCACAGCTCCAGCTTTAGTCTACACCTAAACAAGTACAAAACAGCATCAGTGCCCCTAGGTCTTTATTCCAAGCCCTGCTTGCTGTCCGCCCTTTCACCTCAAGTGATCAAGTATTCTCTGCTTGCTCTTGTCCACTAGCTACTGCCGAGGATTTGGAAAAAGCAGCACTGCACACTCAGTTTGCTTTCAGCTGTTCACTCTTTTATCCCAGCCAACTTCTCTTTTGGTCAGTCACGCAATAACAACGCAGAAGCTTTCTGTACATCACGGGCGATGTTCAAGAAGGTGTTTATTTTCCATTAGCCAGCGCGCAGGTGAGGAGCCCCTCGATTCGCTGTGGACGTTGTTGTGGATGTGAACGTACAACCAAGCGCCTCCGCCGCAGCGCTCCCCGTCTCCCACCTGCGGGAAGG